TGGCTATAGCACTAACAGACAACAGATAGGTTTCTCTGCAGGGGATTTTCTGACTAATGCTTGTAGTCTAGTAACATACTTCAAAAGTATAAGAAATGGTCGGATAAAAGCAGGATGTAGTGGGCCGTTACCAAGATAGCTTGGCTCAATTCAATACCATGAAGTTTAGAACAAGGATCGAGAGTGTGATTCATACATGCAGGACTGGGTTGGTTTACTTTACGACTCACTGACAGAACCAAACAGATACTAATATAGAGTTAAAAACTCAGATCGCCTACGATACCCTCATCTCTCCTCCTCTGGACTCAGATCTCTAGATACCTCATCTCTCCTCCTGCTGGACGCCAGATCTCTAAATACCTCATCACTCCTCCCTCTGGCTTCAGATCTCTAGCATACCTCATCACTCTCCGCTGCGCTCCGATTAGTGATGTTCGGTGGCCGAACGAGCCAATTCTCTTCTGGAACGGCGCTCTGTTGCCGTACGAACGAGGGGAACCGAGTCCTACCTTTGGTGAGAGGCCGTTTGCTTGTATCGTTTCAGATCGTTTGGGTCCACACTCCCACTGGCCTTTTCCAAAAATCCACTCGCCTTTTAAAAAGCTTGATTTGTGTCCCCACACCGTATCCTGTGTGAAGACGCCACGCCCTACTCTGACTGGAGGTTTCAGGACGAGAGTGGGAGAATGGACCCGCCATCTGGTGCTTTAAAGGGAATGCGAAAGAGGAGAAGTCATAACAAGGTGGACAGCGACAGTAGACAACGTGTTTTTTCCGGATGGAAAAAGGTGAAGCAGCTTTTGGATGGCACTTCAACACATAACACCCAGGCAGTGATAAAGCGCACCATTTTGTAAAAGCAAAATATCCTTTAAAGCAGGGTCAACTAATAATCTCCAACGCCACTTAAAAACACAGGTATCCGTTGATTATTTAAGAGTTGCGTGAAGTTTCATTCAAGGGCAAGCAACTTTATTAATTAACACAGCAGAGTACATTCAAAGTACCATTCCACTGACATGATGACCATATGGATAATGGTGCCACCTTGTGTGCAATGTTTAGCAATGGGCACGATTATTGACATTAAGTCTGGCAAGACAGTAAAAGTCATTTTCCTGTGGGTGATTATTTGGGCAGATAAACCCTAGTAACCCCGCCCCCTCTAAAAAAACGCGCTCTTTTGACGGGCTCTTGTTCTTTGAAAGGTACGGAGCCATAAGATCCGCCCGCTCCCTTCAAAGAGCCATAATTCCCATCACTAGCTCCGATACAAGTCCGGGCTGCGGTGGTTTTTGATACATGTCGTCTTCTTCTGTTTGCTTTAATCGAGGCTACGTAGTTATGCAGCGCCCCCATCGTCAGTAAATGGAAGTACTACGAAGAACCCCGTTTAGTGCCGTTATTTCACAAGTTTTTCTATACGCAGCTCGGAAATAATTACCGAGGTCCGGACCTCGGTGACCTCAATGGTGGATACGGCCCTGGGTGTAACGGTTCAAAGAATTCACGGTTTGGTACGTACCTCGGTTTGAAGGTCACGGTTCGGTACAAGGAAAAGCAAAAAAAGTTGCAAATGTAATTCCAGGTTTGTTGTTATTTATTTTTCGAACAGTAGTGCAAGTTTCAGTTTAAAGGCAAGGAACTCTAACATTTTGAATAATTAACTTTGTTACACAGTTAAAAACAAACCACAAACAGTACCACACACACTCAGATGGCCATATTATCTATAATGGCTATTGTCAAACAAAAAAGAATGTCTTGAAAATATTACATCATAAATAATTAGAAAGTGTTTCAAGAGAGCATAGCCGTTGAAATATATATGCCAATAGCTTCCGTTATTTATTTTGGTCTCTCAGCTTTCATGTCTATTGGCTTCTTAAAAACAGCGGGGATTAGCTGTTGAACTGCTGTTGTCTTTCGCCGGGCTCCGGTGATTGGCGAATCTGGGTGATGCCTTCTGATATGATTTAGCATGTTTGGCTTGTGTTACCATTAGCATACCGCACCGCTATCGAACAACGACGACACACCGTCCTCGTCCGATCCACCACTCGCACACTCCATCGTTTTTGTAGTCCACAGGGAACCCGAAATGTTCCCACACAGCTGATTTAAAAGAAGCGGGTAGGTCTTCTAGCTCCTGTGTGTTATCTGAAACCACCATACTAACTTTTCTTCTTCTTGTATTTTGTTCGTTTTGTTGTGTTTTCTTCTTGCTCTTCATTTGTCCGAACCGTGACGGTTCGGGACGAATATGGATACCGTTACACCCCTAGTTATGATAGGGAAGACACAGGCAAACTCTGTGGCCAACCAGGAGGTTAGCATCAGAAGGGCTCCCCAGACAAAAGATTTTTTTTTAAGATTTTGTAATATTGCAGAAAAATAAGATCTGTGGCAAACAAACATTTATGATACTTGCATTTTTTGTCCAGTAGTATAATATCCACATATTAACAACACAAACATGCAATCGTAAGGAATCGTATGGCTATAAACAAACTACATTGCGGTTGCTATGTTGAGCATTACCACCGATAAGTTAAAGGCGGCTAATGTTGTGCGTGATGATGTTTAGTAGTCATATTAAGACATTTTGCAACTGTCTTTTTAAGACACATAGAAGCCTTGACATTCACCAGGGGAGTATTTACTGGCGTATTATATGTTTTTAGAACAATCAAATATCTTCGGCTTGTGTTAACCGCAGGCCACAGCATTTCATGCTTTTAACCAAAAACCCATCAAAAAAATACATTGACTTTGAGACAAGGGAAATGGAAGTGTTCAAAGGCTGATTCATTTCTGGGTTTTAGGACTGATTGCTGTTACACTGTTAAAGTTTTATAATAAAAAAACGAAATAATCTCTCTGTCAGCCTACACAGTCTGAATAGCTGATACAGCACATTCCTCTTTGACACTGATCTTTAATTGTTTTTGTCATTGCAGGTACCCATCAGCACAACTATAACCATGTGGCTCTAGGTAGCCCTACACGCACACCTAAGAATGGTAAGACAAAGATGGAGATATTCAAGTAAAAACAGCCCAGTTCAGTGTTTGAGATGAAGACAGGGCCAGGGCATTAACTCAATAACTATCAATTTGCTAGACCAAAAATCCATTCTGTTAATATCTCATTTAAAGTGGACCTATTGTGCTATATTTGAAAAATATATTGTAGGGCCATACCTATACAAAACATGTCTGGGAATTTTTTTTGTTGCTTAAAATACCAAACAGATCACCCATTGTAGCCATGCTGCTCATACCCCTCTATTGCAGCCCTGTTCCAAACATGCTGATTCTGCTTTAAATGGAACGGCTGCTGCTAGCCACGCCCCTTTATTGCGTCATGCAGCTTTCCCCTGCTGGAGAGTTTTCTACCGGGAGAAGCTCAGCTAAACGCTGCCGTGATTAAATGCTATCTTATCCTCCTAACCACTTCAAGCATTATTTCTAAAACAGTATGGAGGTCAAACCTTTCTCTCTAGCAGGGTTTGCCACAAGGACATTACGTTACATATATTCTCTACAGTAGCCTACAGCGTTAGCTCCATGGTTAGCTCTGAGTGTTAGCATGCTTGCTAATGTAAACACAGAGCATATTACTCCCAAAACACGCCGCGCACATTGTTTCTGATAGGACATAGCTTGAATCGTTCTTTCTGAAGTGTTATGCTTAGACATGCAATTATATTAGTTATACAACTTTACTCTAAGTGCCTCCTGCGCTCCGCGAGAGTGTATGTTTCCAGCAGAGAGCCCAAACTGTTTATTTTCCCTGGCCACATCAACCAGCTCTACTGTGGGATCCCAAGGCGCTCCAGCCACGCGAAGAGATATAATCCCGCGCGCGCGGTCTTAGGTCTACCCCTGGTCTCTTTCCCAGCTGGAGCGTGCCTGGAACCCATCCCTAGGGAGGCGCCCAGGTGGCATCCTACTTAGCGTGCCCGAACCACCTCAACTTGCTCCTTTCGGACGCGAAGGAGGGGGAGCGGCTCAAC